ATTGACAATTATATTCTTTTTAAATTATAATTATTCAATGATAAAAAACCTGATACTTTTGTTTAAATATTCATGAATAATAAGCATAATTTTATATATTGCATAATTTTTTATATTGCATTCTGAAATAATCAATTCAAGAGAGACACATTGAGATCGGATTCGAAGAAAAGGAAGAGTGATTATATTCCAAAAAGATAAACTTGCTGAATCATACGAAGCATAAATATGCAGGCGATATGTTCAGGAATATCGAAACGAATTGATAATATATCCAACAATGCCATTCCCCTCAGCCATCGTTTTAAAAACTCAAACACGCCATTCCTTATCGTGGGATATCCAACGATTCAACGAGTGCTCTCGTTACTCCGCGTGCTTTCGACCGGCGCGAAAGCTCAAAGCACCAGCGGTCAAGAGATTCTCCAGACGAGCGGAGCGAGTTCGGTCGAGAATTGGAGCGTAAAAATAGAGAGAGAGAAACCGGCCTAAGAAACGCTTTCGCGCACTGCTCTCGTGCATTGCCATAAAAGAATGCGCAGGCGGTGTATGGGGAACGTGATGAAAGATGTGAGGGAGGGAGCGGGAATCCCGAATTTTTACAGATCCTGAGATTCGAAGTCAGCCAGACGCGAATTACGCAGGGAGTCAACCGGCGAACCTCGCGGCAGAACGAGGAATCGCGCGTCTCGTCATCATCGCCAAAAAGGAAAAACTCGATGGAGAATTAACCGCTAGCGTATTGAAGCATCGTTCACTGACTACAACAGCAACGTTCCACGTCGTCAAGGAATGAAATTCGAGAATGCGAAGACAGAATGACGACGAAACGCAGAAAAGCTCGAGGAAGGAAAATCATTTTTCGCAATTACGATGCGCAAATCGCGAGCGGCAGCAACAACGGGAATGATGATGGCCCCGCCGAATATGGGAGGCATGAGAGCATGAAGGACGGCGAGGGGGGCGCGATATGTTGTCCACGATACCGGGCCCCCCGAATAATCTACTTACCCCTTTTCGTCGTCGTCCATTTCGGTCTTCACTCTCATAATATTTCACTTAAAACTACGAGAACGCGGTCAATTTCAGGGCGCGAGTGGGAATATGGCACGATGCTTTAGCGCGGACGAGGGTAATGGCTCCGCACAACGCGACGTCGGGAACAAATGTAAACGTAACGAACATGAGCGTCACTTCCGTCTCTCGTTCTACGACGCTGGTCGAATCAGCTACCCGATTTCCAGGGCCGTCGCCGTAGGGGATCACGAACGATTTCAACTATTCGACGTGTTCTTTATTTATACTTGTCTTTATCAATGTAGAGATTACTTTAATTTCAATTCTTTTTTTATTTTTAATACTGAAAAAAAATTTGTAAAATTTTAATGAATATTTATTTAGATAATACCAATTGGGTAAAACAAAATGATACTTAAATTTGTTAACAAATTGAATAAATTTTTTAATATAAGCAAATGTCTATTGAGTCGTTCCATTTGGACTTACAAAACTCGCGAATATTATTTGCCTTTTTTTAATAAACAACAAGAATGAAATGAGTGTCAATTATAATGGATATAGCCTCTATAAGCTGTAAGAAATTGATCAATTACAGTCGAATGTGAAGAAAATAATTGATTGTGATTCGTCCATATGGCTTAAAGGCTTAAGGCTTAAAACATCTATTATAGATCCAGACTTGACCAGAATTGATCAGTTGAATGCGAGGAGAATAATTATGATTCGTCCATTTCTTATGGCTTAAGGCTCAAAAATTTATTGTAAATCCGGACTAATAAAACGCATTCAGCAGACTCAGTTAAGTGAATGCTCGCTGTTATTGGTGTATTCTTTTAGATTATCAATCAAAATTTTAGATCTAAAAGAATACATTATCATTCGGTCTGTTCTTGTTGCTTGCACTTTTTGCACTTAGCATCTTCATTCTTTCTCTTTTTAACATCTAAATATTTATCGCTTTTTAAACTATAAAATGCTTTTTGGAGATTTCAAGCAATACGAACAAATCTATAAAGACTATCGCTAGTTAATAATAACGAAAATCGTCGATAAAACGTTAAAAAATCGCGTTATTGGTAATTTTACTTGTTTATTTTTTATTTTTTTTATTTTGGAAGATACAAAGTAGGAATCTGTGATTTTCACTCACGAGAAAATGCATTTCATCGCCGCACGTATCAGTGGGAATGCATATTGTCACCGATGAGATATTATTAAAGACCGTTAACCCTAAGCGAATTTTCGACAGTATAAAAAGGGCCCTAAGGGTCCGGAGATAATTGAAGAACGCTGACATTATCGACAATTGATATAAATTTGTTATTATTAACATAAATATTTGGCTCATACATTATTACATTCATGATTTTTTTGTTACATAAATGTTCCATAAATGAATATCACACTTGTAAAGCTATAATATCTTATATATTGTAGAAAAATTACAATTTTTTCTCTGCAGTTCATCATCTCTGTTGATAATCAAACTTTGATAACACTGAAATCACAATTTTAAAGAAAAATTGAGCATTATGACTTCTAAATATATAAATACGTCTACTAAACTAATAAATCATAAAATTAGTACAATATTATCAGTTTTTAATTCTTAATTACTTCAATAGTCACAAGGATGCGAACTCCCATAAAAATGTCGATCTTTAATAATATCTCGTCGGTGATATTGTTTAGTGATTTTTAATGGAATAATTAATAGTATAAAAGCTTTATGTATGTCTACGATATTAGAAATTATATCGAAATCTCGGAAAAAAAATTGATGATAAATTATAAAAAATTATTCAATTCTTCTAATAATCTAATTAAATTAATCACTAATTATATAAATTGACAAATAGTTTATCAAGTTAAATAGTTTATCAAGTTAAAAATTCGTAGCTGGATGGAATTGCTAATTTTTTATTATTGACATACGAAAGAATTGAATAAAGCAAAACAAACAAAATGGAATATATCAAAAACAAACAGAAAGAAAGTTTAAAGACGAATATGCTCATTAACTTAATCGCCGGTTAAACTAATCAGGGTCTAGGTTGTCCTCAAAATATGTTTCAAGTCACGCTGTGTATGTATATGAATACAGTTAATTTCGAATAATTTAATTGCCGACTATAAAACAGTATCTTTTTACATATAATGTGTATAATATATTTCTCAAAGTGCACAGTAATTCAATTGGCACATAAATTGACAGATAAATGTGCAAATAAAGAAAAATATATAAGTTATTTCATTTGCCAAACTCAAAAGACCTTGTGTGCCCAGTACATATTTTATTTATTTATTTTTTTTCAATATGAAGAAAATGAATAAAGATAAACCGTATATAATATCTATATATCTATAATCTATATATCTATAATAATATCTATAATGAACCTGTTTCTATCAATGTAGATTAAATTAGACTTTAATCTCAGTTCAACTTACTTTTTACCTGTTTCTGATTTTTTAAAACTACAAAAAGATGAAGAGTTAGTTAAACTGAGTTAAAATTAAATTACATTGGTAGAAACAGATCTAAAAAGTTCAACTGAAAAGAACAAGCCTACGATGTGATTAGTTTCACTTCGATAATTTCTATTGACGTCAGATTTCGATTTATATCTCGCGCGAAAATATAGCTCGCCCAGGAACCTGCGTTTCCCTCCTCGACACACGGCCCTGCGAGGAAAGCCATTTATTCGCGGCATGTGCGATATATATATAATTTCATGCGATATTCATATTGCGTTCGTCATTCTTGTTCACAACATTTCACTTGCTTAAAAAGGAATATCCGCATACTCAACAAGCACAAAAATGTTAAAACGTCGTCTGAACACGTCAGTCGTACTGAGTTCAACGATCTGTTGGAGTCAGCGTGAGGTCCGTTCCTTGTGCCGCGCGAACAGCTCTTCTCACTCCTTCTGCACTCAACGAGTGCAGAACGGATCGCGCGGAACCGGCAGAATGACGTCAAATCGAATGGCAGAAGTGGGAGGGCGAGAGGTGCAGAAAGAGAGAACAACACTTGCAAACGTGCTGAAACGTGCCGCGTCATACAGTCGTCAGAAAAATTTTTCTCAGAATTTTTATACATATTTATTTAGGACACTTTTATATATATTTTCTCAATAATATTGAGAAATTCTACATCTTTTTTTACAAAAAAACTCATGGAAATGTTCCCCTCCGATTTTGATGAAATTTGAATATTTTATTTTCTAAACAAAAATAAGATAATATGTATTTTTTTATAAAGGCTAAATCATACTTTTAGGGAGTGTAATACTTCCTTTGAAAAAATCGTTTTTTTTTACATAAATATTCGTTTCGAACCATTTGAAACTGTTCGAGATAAAATTTAATATGTTTTGAATAAAAGTTCAATGATTTGAAAAATACTTTATAATAATAATTTTAAAAAATTTGTTTAAATGAAAAAAATGTTTATTTATAAGAATAAAAATAAAACAATTTTTTAAATTAAAATTTTTAAATACTCTTATAAGATCATTCTATTTCAAATATTTTTTTATTTCTTATATCTCAGTTTCGTTAATATTTACAATATTTCTAAAAAATAATTAATTTTTTCAAAAATACTATACTCTTAAAAGAATTCTGAAATTTACATAAAAATTCTGAAAATTATATAAAATATTCTCAAAAAAATTTTATCAGGGAAAAATTTTCTAACCAGAATGCATTTTTTTTTTACAGAAACATGATGGCAGCAAAAATACACATTTCTATCTTTATAAATCTTTGAAGAACTTGTGACCATGTTAACATTTCATGAAATAATGCTTTAGGCCTGTTCTTTTTTGACTAAACTTTTTCGCCAATTCATCTATCTTCCTCTTTTTTCCTGCTGGAGAGAAAAGGAAGAAAGATGAACTGATGCAAAAGTCAAAAAAAACGGATCTTTTTATGAATGTTTTATGAACTCATGTAAATGACTCATGTCCGCGACTGTTTTGCTGTGACGTCTGCCATCTGTGCCGTCGTGAGAAACTGCGAAAGCCAAGAAACTGTAGTGTCATACTGTTATTCAGTTTGAAGTAATTGAAGTATTTTAGCGAATCAAGCGATGATGAATTTATTGATTGAAAATGGGAAAGGAAATTTACCTGATTATGAGGTACAGGGAGTGAAAAAAGTAAATTTTAATCCATATTCCGACAATGGAGGGTAAGTGGAAAAATAACCTATATCTTATTAATTTTAAGTGTCATAATTGTAAGAATATACATTTCTACGGTTGGTCAGTATTCTTGGTTTTTATTTTATAATATTCTCTTTATAATTCTACGTTCTTTATGTATTTATGAAGTATTTTACATCTACATAATTATATGAAAACATTTCATTCTCAGGAGTGTTGTAGCTCTCGCTGGGGATGATTTCTGCGTCATAGCCGCAGACACGCGTCTCAGCACTGGATTCACGATTCACACTCGAAATCAAGATAAATTATTTCCATTGTCAGACACAACTATCTTAGGATGTTCCGGTTGTTGGTGCGATACCACAACTCTAACTCGTCTCCTATCCGCTCGCATGCAGGTATTAAATCTTGTACTTGGAATCTGTACTGGAATCAATTAGAATTAAAACATAGTAAAACAATTATATAACATTCGATACATACTAAATTGTTAAACATGAGTATAATAGTTATTATTTTGCTTCAGATGTATAAACACGAACATCAAAAGGAAATGTCAACTCCAGCGGCGGCACAAATGCTGTCGATAATGCTATATCATAAGAGATTCTTTCCTTATTATGTTAGTAATATACTTGCTGGATTAGATGAGAATGGAAAAGGCTGTATATATAGCTATGATCCAATTGGACATTGTGAGAAAACTACATACAGGGCCGGCGGTTCAGCTGGTGCACTTTTGCAACCACTTCTTGATAATCAGGTATATATAATACTTTAATTTTTTATATTTATGTATACCAATCCCTGGCAATTCATCTCGCGTAGTCATGGCAGTGTCGCTATGCGTAGCTTAGCGCTGAGACACTACCAGTGTCTCCAGATACATACGAATATGTAAATTGACTTTATATATTTATATAAAAAAAAGAAAATGTATAATTAATATTGTACATTTTGTACTAGTGATTTTTCTATCTTTTAGATTGGTTACAAAAATCAAGAAGGTGTTACTCCTGCACCTTTAACTCAAGAAAAAGCTATAGCGATCTTAAAAGACGTTTTTACTTCTGCTGCTGAAAGAGATATATACACAGGTGATGGAATAACTATCAAAATTATTACCAAGGATGGAATAGAAATCTCCAATTTTGCTCTAAGAAAGGATTAATGGGAAAAGAAAGCATTTATACTTATATCTGCGCAAATAAAGTTATTTGAGTATATCAACACTGTTATTAAATTTTTTCTCTTTCAAATATTTTTTAAAAGAGATAGTACATTATGGAATAATCATTTAATTTGTAATTGATCTTAAACGCACAAATTGAAATTGCGTGGATTGAATAATATACAAAAGATACACACGAAAAAGAGTCTGAAATATATATAAGTACACATAACAGTATTTAAATAGGCCTTTTTTAATATTTATACACTATATTTGCTACTTAATATACGTGTAAACATTTTATCCATAATATATATTTTATAAATTCTTAATAAAACTTCGTGACATTCAATGAGAATATATGGTACGTTATCATAAATTAAAAATTTTATTTTTTCATTCAAACACATGATTCAGTTTTATTTCATGATTAGCATTAGTAATATACACTTAAAAATCTATAACAAACGATTACGCGCGCAAAGGTAACTCAATAAGCCTTTTTTAACGTTACGCTATGTTACTGTATGCACCGTATGTAATCGTATGTCACTCGTACGTATTCGTGATATCTTAAAATATCTTTCTTTTATTTCGTACATAAAAGACAAGTTAATTATAACCCATTTTTTATCGTTCACAATATCTGTATAACCAAAGAAAAAGAGGATAGGGGTTTGTGTTTCTTTTTTTTTTGTTGCATTCCATTCTACCGTCTTTCTCATACTTCTTCCTTCGTGGGAACAGTATATAAGGATCGAAAGATAGATGTTGCTTCCCCCCGAGATTCACTTCTTCGTCCCGGGGGCCGCTAAGGGTTTGCCACGATCTTTACCGCGCAATTTAATTCCAAGTACTCGCTCGATCTTGCCGATTACCATCTGATTCGGTATTCCACGTCCGGCTTCGTAGTCATTAATGACTTGTGCCTTTTCGTTTACTTTCTGTAAAGAGCATTAAAAATTATTAATAAAAAAATATTCATGGCTTGAAACCTGAGACATAATTAAAAACACATGGGAATAACAGATTTCAACCTATCAGAAACCTTATATTCTAATACACACAATGTCTGATAGATTAAAATTTGTTACTCCCTGTTCCTATTATCTGTACTTTTCAGTTATGTTTCGGACTTTATTCTCTTCCAATAATGGTATTCAAAGGAAAAACAGTTCTGTAATTGTAATATTCTTGAATATGATTGATTTATACATTTGGATCCAGTAAGAAACCAAAGATAAAATCATATTGATCCAATGATGCACAGTCGATTTTTTAATTATACTAAGAGAATGGACAGATGATACAGTTCGGTATCCGGCTCTAAAAAAAAACTTGGCAATGTTGAGAGATTATATGTGTGTGTACAAGGACGCCCATATGCAATTGTTTGTTTCCGTCCAAAAGCGTATAGAAATCGTGTTTGTGCGCTCAACCACCTACATTGCAGACCGTGCAAGCATTTTCAGTAAATTAAAAAAGATTTTTTTGTTTTTCATGTTTTTGACGCTAATTTCACAAATAAACATATATAAATATTTTGTTCTAAAACTTGTGGCATATAATATTTATTTTTTGCATCATTTATTGCCATAAAGACTATCCATCAAAGAATATTATACAATAAAATAAGGGGCTTCTACCAGGTCATTATAATAAACAAGTTTTAAAAGATGTAAATAGTAAACCTTTATTCTTTTTCTTTTTCTTATCATTTCACGAAACATTTCGTACTAAGTTCTCATCAACCGTTTTTAAAAGTGAAATAAAAATCGTTAACAATAATTTATATGAACATATTAAAACTTAAAAATTAATTTCGGTAACGGTATAAAAAACGGTATTAATCGGGTCATCTCATTCACAATCACATTATGCGTTATTAATTCAACCATGTTTGACTGAGTCAAGTTATAATTAATAAAAAAGTTATAAATGTATATAAATTGTAGATCCAAATCGAAGAATTGGTTTTAATTATTAAGGGTTTTAATTATTGTTAATTTTTATTTCATTTTTAAACACGGCTGATGAGGAACTAGTACGGTCGAAACGTTTCGTGAAATGATAGAAAAAGAATAATAAAAATTTACTATTTACATCTTTTAAAGCTCATTTATTAATAAAAGGGTAGAAGCCCCTTATTTTATTGTTTGAAATTTATACAAGCGGTTTATCTAATATATTTTTATTGTAAAGAATTTTATGTTCAAAATGTTTTTTTAAGACTGTGCTACATTTTTATTTTTTATATCTTTGCATTTTTTTGTATTAAAAATAAACACAATTGTAATTAATTTGCTATAAAAGTTATTTCACTTTTTTTCTTAAACTTCAATTTTTTAATTCATAAAAAATTCATTCCAGATAGCCAAATAATTCAATAATTTTTTAAAGATAACATTATACTATTTTTTCCCCAAAGTACATATTAAAACCTAAATTTTTCTATACCATTCACAAAAGTTATGAATTCTTAACTGATATCGTTTTTTAAAACTTTTACATTTTAATTTAATAAATAGTAAAAAATAAGTAAAATACAATTTGATTTTTATTATGATAGAACTTAAAGGTTTTAGAAATATGTAAGTGTTTTTAAATGTTTATATATAGTCCGGAATAATGAATAAATTTAATATAATCTTCAACAATCCATTCTCAAAATCAAGATTGAAAATTTTACAGGGGAGAATTAAAGAATTTTACAACTATATAACAGTTCAAAAGCTGTTTTTTTTTCTGGTGAATGTAGCCAATAAATAGTTCAATATAAAAAACAAGATAAAAACTTTACCGTTGCCAGGTCTTTTTGTGATAATCCTTTGTTCTGTCGTCCTTGCTGGATAAGTTTGCCGAGCTCAAGTGGAATTTGGTCGTGTTTCAATTCTTCCGTTTCACGATCTAATTTGGCTGTGTTTTTTGTGGTTACGTGCTGTCTGTTTGCACCACCACCCCCTATAATCAGAATATTTTTCTATTTCAGAAAATTACATTTGATCAAATTATCAGAAAGAAATTATAGAATAGCACACATCTGTGGTAAAACACAATAAAACGCTTTTAGGATATTGTTATTTTATGTGTAGAAACCAAGAAAAATCATTTCAAATCTTATTTCATGAAAAATTTATATCTTTATTATTTATGTAGTTTATTGATAGAATACAATGTTGTATTTCTTGAAAGAGATTAACCTATATACTCACATATGTGTTTATTCTATACCAGACCTATCCAATTTGAAACAAAGCCATCGATACAAAAAAAATGTGAGTAAAATTTCGAGAACTATCAAGTGTTAATATGTATTAAGTGACGCTTATCAATACTTTATAGTTTCTAAAATCTTACAATGAATTTTTTTTTTACATCGATGGCTTTGCGTTTTGACTCCGACGCTCAAATTGGAGCCACAGACTTGTTCTATATTGACACAACATTTTCAAACTGCTTTCAGCTTTTCATCTACGACATAATGTGATAAAATAATACAGACTACATGTTACACTTTTTTTACTGTAACTGTGCTGGATTGTACATAGATATCATTCTCGAAAAAATATGATAATTATTTGCAATTCAATTTCATGGGATTCAGTTTTATAAAACCATATACTTATATGTGTGTTTATTCTTTACATTAACACAACAAATTACTTTATTTTCAAACTGCCTTGAACTTTTCATCTATGAAACAATATGATACAACAATAACATAGATTACATGTATTTTTTTTATTGCAATTATATTGCATGACCTGTCACACTCCTGAGAAAATTATTATAATTATGATAATTATTTTTGTAATCTGCAGTTAAGTTTTATGAAACTATACTTACATATGTGCAGTTTATTCTATACATTGACACAACAAATTACTTTGTTCTCAAATTGCCTGGAGCTTTTCATCTACGACACAATATAATACAATACATGTAATGCAGATTACATATCCGTTTTTACTATGTTGGCAACTTGGCCTTCACGATATGATAACTTTGAGTAGCTCGTTATAACAGTTTGCCAACAAAATTAAATCATAATCAGATTCTACTGCCATCATGTTGCATCATACAATGCTATCAATTGCTGATAACACGATACATTGGCTTTCTACAATAATCTATTGTAATATTTAAATTATCTATTTTAAATCTGAAGCTGTAAAAAATTATTCGATCATAGTCGATTATTCTTTTCACATTCGACTCTAACTGATCAACGGTTTCTGATGACTGATTCTTCTACAGTTTAAAACTTAAAATTTAGATAAAATTTAGATGTTTATTGTAGAAAGCCTATGCTTCCAAATAGCAAAATCGCACAAATCTGTTATTGCTTATGGTACTGCAACTTACTATAGATTTGTCTTCAATGATTTCAAATAAATCGACATTGTAGCAATATGCAGGCAACAATGTGTGCAACTTGTTTAACAGCAAGCTTGTGTTGTCGGCAATATGATAGAATTGTATGATGCAATATGATGGCAGTAGTATGAATTTTGATTATAATTTTAAAGTTGTTGGCAAATTGCTATAACGAGCTACTCAAAGTTCTCATATCATGAAGGCCAAGTTACCAAACAACAAACGAGGTTCAGTTGCTGCAATTCTGATAGCAACACATACTTAGCAATGTATACTTAGCAAGCAACAGATACGTTGCTATTTGGATTGGTATTATATAGACATTCTCAGGAAAACATGATAATCATCATTTTTGCAATTTGCAATTTGGTTTTTATGAATCCATGTAACTCGATTATGTTCGTAGATATAAGAGAGTATACATAATTGTCCGCTTGAAACGGCGAACACGTTGTCTATGATGAGAAAGATCTCAAGGAAAAAACGAGGAAAAAGATATCCCAGGGAAGTAGACTCATGCTACTCACATTTCGCTTGTGTCTCCACGGTGAAACCTTGTCGCCGTGCGTCGTTCACCGCCTGTAAACAAATACAATCGGTTATACAATCGTGCGGCGCAGATATGCTTAGATGAGATGGGTTACCTTCTCCGTTTTCAACGTGGATGACTTCGGGGCACGTTTGCGTAAAGTGATAGGCGCGGTGTCCCAATCTGACATGCTGTTAAAAAAAAATCTCACAACGAAGAACCCAAGGGGTTGTTGCGGTCGAGGAAGAAAATTTGCTTGGACGTATGGATGTATAGATGTATAGCCACGACGACGATAACAACTGCTCTACAACTGCTCTACACCGCTTGCTCTACACTCTACTCCCGCCACTGTTTGCGTTTCCAGTCGAGCAAGGTCTTCTCTCCGCCTCGCGGACGTTCTGAAAATCATGCGGTGCGACCGCTCGATCGACCGGTGCGAAGCCGCGATTTCACGAACATCGGGGGTTGGCGCCTACGAAATATCGAGAATCTAGGATTGGGAAGTACTAAGTTAAAAAGTTAAAAGTTCAATTATAAAGTTAAAAAGTTAATTAATTTTATCTTAATTTACAGTTTATCTTAAGTTACATTTTAGACTCTTAATTTAATTTAGTTACATTGCATTTTATCGGTAACTTTCCTAACATCACAGACTTTTAGGGAATATTTTCAGGACATCCAGAAATCATCCATATGTCCTTTGAACAACCTAAGGATATCCTCTAGGATATATCCCAGATAAAATATGCTATTAGGGTTTTAATTTGACTTTTTTTGAAGTTAACATAGTACAAAGCAATAATAGTATATAATTTAGTAATTTTATATTGTCTTTTATATTGTATAATTCTTAGTCGTAAATAAAAATAAAATGATTCCTTAATGAATATGCTGTAAGAAAGAAAAAAATGATGTAAAACAGTCAAATTTTTTTTTGGTTCATTCAGAATAAATTTAACTTTTAACTTTCAATTAGTTTTTTTATTAACTTAATTAACTTCTAATTCAATTAATTTCATTATGAATTAATTTGTATCTTAATTAAGTTAAATTTTCAAGGCTGTCAACTTTAACTTAACTAAGTTTTAAAAAACGGTTAACTTATACCCAATTTTGCGAGAACCGTAACGTGTCCTCGCTAAATCCTACTGAATTCTCGTGTTCGCTATTTTTTTCGATACGACGCCGGCCGGCGAAGAAATTGCGATGCGTGGGGTCTCTCGAGCGGCTCGAACGTCATTCCGCGACTGCGAATTTCGAGAACCAAAACGATCGAGATTTGTGGCAGGGTCATCAGACTTTCAATCGTCCAATTTTCGATGCCACACGTGCACAGAAAATTTTTTGCAATCTGTGCCAATTATCACAGTAATTATATATATATA